TGCGGCCCGGGTTCCATCCTCAGCACCACATACAAAGATGTGTGTCCGTCGATTACTAAAAAAATAAATATTAAAATTCTCTCTCACTCTCTCTCTCTTTAAAAAAAAAAAATGTGATTACAAGAATACATCTATAATCCCAGAAACTCAAGAAGCCAAGGCAAGAGGATCACAAGTTTCAAGTCAGCACCAGCAATTTAGTGAGACCCTGCCTTTAAAAAAAAAAAAAAAAAGAACTGGGGATATAGCTCAGTGATAAAGCACCCCTGGATTCAATCCCCAGTACCACCAAAAAGAAAAAAAAGCTATTTTTAAAAAAATAACAAAATGATTTTTTTAAACAACAAAGTAGGGCTGGGGATGTGGCTCAAGCGGTAGCGCACTCGCCTGGCGTGCATGCGGCCTGGGTTCGATCTTCAGCACCACATACCAACAAAGATGTTGCGTCCGCCGAGAACTAAAAAATAAATATTAAAAATTCTCTTTCTATCTCTCTCTCCTCTCTCACTCTCTTAAAAAAAAAAAGTATATTTACATCATAGCAAGATTACATTTAGTTTTCTCATATTATTCATTTTATAAATTGTCTTTATTTTTTAATTGACATGATTATAATATTTATGGCGAACAAAGTAATATTTTTCAGATCACGGTAACAGGTATATCCATAAGCTCAAACATTTATCATTTCTTCATGCTGGAAATATTCAAAATCCTCTACTAGCTATGTGGAAACACACGATTAATTGTGCCAATCAAGGTTACCCTACTGGGTGTGACATTATAAGTCATTTCTCCTCTCCAAATGGACCTCTATATCTATTAACCAACATCTTTCCACCCCTCCCTCCCACTCTGGAAAACTTTAAAACACAAATTTATTCTAGTTTCTGGCTGGGTGTGTGACTCAGTGGTAGGGCACTTTGCCTAGCATGCACTAGGCCCTGGGTTCAATCTCCAGCAGGACAGAAAGAAAACAAAAAGAAATTTATTCTATTTTAAACTTTTGGTTACTATGTACAGAAGGGAATTTCATAGCAGGTAAAAAATTGTTTCTATTTTTTGTTTTTTCTTTGTCATATTCTAAACACAGGCAATAAAGGAAAACTGTATCAAAACAAATTTCAAAGCAACTATCTGTATTTGGTTGCAAAACTAAAATTCTATCACACGGAAATTTAATTTAAATCACCTTGCCGAGTTTGATCTCCAGTATCACACACATGGACAAAGTTAAAAAAATAAATCAGCTGTCCTTCCATGTGCACATGGAAACCTATTTGGTAAGAATTCCTAACTCGAGCTTTTTCAGCAACTAAAACTTATCTGCTTTAACTGTAAAAACAACCCTTTTTCCAAAAATCATATGAAATAATTTACCTATAATATGTGCAAACCTAACAATTACAACTCTTTGCCTACAAAAGAACCCTTCCCTCCCCTTATACTGCTACCCAAAATATCCAAACACTAATACACTAATACAAACATAAAACACTAATACAAATATACAAACACTGGGGGGAAAAACCCAAAAGTCTGATTCCTGACTCCAAAACTAGCTATTTGCTTAATAAAAATGCCCATTTTAAGAGTATGAAGAATAGCCAGGTGCAGTAGCAGGCATCTATAAACCCTTAAGAATGGGGAGGGTAAGGCAGGAAGATCACAGATACAAGGCCAGTGCAGGCAACACAGCAAGACCCTGTCTAAAAAATAAAGAAGAAAACTTCTGGCATACACAATTCTTTAAACAAAATCTTACACAATATATATATCGTATTAAATTAACAAATTATAGACAAGAAACATTATGCAGAGGTTTTTTTGACTAACTTGTATCAATGCTTACTCAGAAGTAGAATAATATGAAAAATTAGAAGGGCCAAATGTGCAACAAAATTTAATTTTAGATATCAACTAAACTAAATCAAGCCAGGCAAATCTACTGCAGAAACTGAAATTTTTGCAAACTGTGTAAACAAGGCTTCCACTGAAAAATTAAGGCCAAAACATTTTTATTATTTTTAAATTGAAGCTTTACATTTTTAGAAAGCATAAGCTAACTTCATTTCCTACATAAATTTACAAATATAGTACAACAAATTATGTAAAACCTCAAAAACTGAATGGTGCCAGAATGATTTAACAGTTACCAACTTACTAACATTTGACTTAACCATTCAAGTATGTCCACCTTCATCACAGAAGGAAAGGAAAAAAGGCTTAAAATAAAGAGCTAACTTAAAAGTTGACCAAGCTGAAGTAATTTGGGAAAAAAATACTATCCTTTTGTTTAATATTTTCTTCACTCTTAATATAAGAGAAGGATAAGGACATTATTTCTCTTCACTATTTCATGACTTTCATATTTCTTTTCCTACACTTTGTCACAATAAATAAATCGTTGAGCACTGTGATTGTAGCAATAAAATTAAAGATTTGTTCCACCATCACTAGGACTAAAGAAAACTGTCTAAAATGCTTAATCAAGAATTGCTAGACTAGAGCCAGGTGCAATGGCGCACACCTGTAATCCCAAAGACTCAGGAGGCTGAGGCAGGAGGATTGCAAGTTTAAGACCAGCTTCAGCAACCTAGCAAGTTCTTAAGCAACTTAGTGAGACCCTATCTCAAAATAAAAAAGGGTTGGGGATATAGTTCAATGGTAAAGTACCCATGGGTTAAATCCCAAGTACCAAAAAAAAGAAAAAAAAAAACAAAAAAAGAACTGCAGAACTGGGAACATAGCTCAGTGGTACAGTACTTCCCTGGAATGTATGAAGCCCTGGATTCAATCTGCAGTATTGGGGAGCAGAGGAAGAACTGCTCTTCCACAAATAGTTAAACAAACTGTGGTAAATCCATATAATGGAATACTACTTAGCAATAAAAAGGGACAGACCACTGATACAAGCAACAACTTATATAAATTATATGAATTAGGGAAAAGAAAAGGGTATTTAAAAAACAAAAATAAAGGAAAGGGGGGGATATTAAGATAAATTGCAAAAAAAACTATGTTTAACCCATCAATCAGCCTTTTAAAAGGTTTTTTAAAAGGTTTAAAAAATAAGGGCTGGGAGTGTAGCTCAGTGGAAGAACAAATGCTTAGAAAGCCACAGGCTCTGGGGTTCAATCCCCAGTACCTCAATGTGTGTGTGTGTGTGTGTGTGTGTGTATGTGTGCGTGTGTATGTGCGTGTGTATATGTGTGTGTATATGTGTGTGTGTGTGTGTGTGTTATATTCATCCTAAAACTATGCCACTTACATTTCAATCACTTTTATTGAGGGGTACCATGGAGTGAACCCAGAGGTGCTTAACCAATGAGCCACATCCTCAGCCCTTTTTATTATTTTATTTAGAGATACAGTCTCACCGAGTTGCTTAGGGCCTTGCTAAATTGCTGAGGCTGGCTTCTTGAGATCCTCCTACCTCAGCCTGAGATTACAGAACTGCCCAACCACTCTGGGCTTCCAATTAGTACGCTCCCCCTTTTTTAAATACTTGAATTTTTTAGTTGTATTTGAACACAATACCCTTACTTTACTTATTTATATTTATGTGCGGCTGAGGATCAAACCCCGGGCCTCGCACATGCTAGGCAAATGCTCTACTGCTGAGCCACAATCCCAGTCCCTCCAATTAGTCTTAAAAACAAAATGCTAATACAGATCTCAGGATACTTGAAACTTGATGAAACTTTCTAATGTTTTAAATATGAACTGAAATCTGACATATGGATTCTTTTGGGAAAAAAAATCAGTGATTATTTCTACAAAAACTGGAATTTCACTTTCCAACAAGTGAAATAATTATAATTGCAAAAGGTGAACGCTTACACACACCCTCCAAATTTTTAAGACTTAAGTTTGGCAAGTACAGTTAATTCTTTCCTAAAGTAATATTTGCACGAAAGAGAACCCACACACTAAATGCCAAACCAAAAAAAAAAAAAATGTGATACAATGTATTAATTATAGCTCCAAGGTTACAGGGCATATTTTACAATGTAAAGAGTCACTACAAATATCAACGCATTCCGTTTTTTTTAAGAGTACAATCTGCATACATTTAAAACGTAGAGAATGAAGTTCAGCCAGCGTCAACAAGATCCAACTTAAAAGTTCTTGTGTTTCCTTTTCTGTGTCAAGTTTTGGCATCAGTGTTAGGACGTTTCAGAGAGTTAAGAAAATCTGTCCAGAACGTCTCAACTAAAGGCTCTCAACTTTTCACTTCCTACCAGACCGCCCCCTCGCCATGGGCCCCACCTCCCGAGGAGGGTGATGGGGTGGGGCTGTTTCCCGCTAGGAAACTAAGAAATAAATGCTCTTCCCTACTCCAGAAAGAAGGGAACCGGGGAGGCCGTAAGGAGCTTCAGACTCAGATATGCAACGAACTTCGAGGAGGTAGCTGACTGGAAGCTTTCTCCCCTGCACTGAACTCCCTTCTCCCTCCCCTCCTCCCAGGTCGTGCAGTGACCCTGGGCCGGGCGGGGACAGGTGAATCCCAGGAGGGGAGAGAGAGGGAGGGACTGCCGACCGAGAGGGAACCGCGTTCAGGCAATGAATGAGTCGTGCCGCATCCGCACCACCTGTTCCTTCCAAGGGTGCCACTTCGGCCTGCCGGCAGTATTCCTGCACCCACCCGGCCGCTACCGCTGCCCGTGCTGCCCGCTTCCCTGCTAGAGGCCAGGCCTCTCCTCCCTCCGCTCGGGAAGGGTGAAAGCCAACCGTCTAGAAGCCGGGAGGTCGGGGCCTAGTCCGGAACCAGGGCCTCGGAAGCGCGGGGACGGGAGGGGGAAGCCTGTAGTCCCTGGCGCGCGGGCCGAAGTGGGAGCCACAGGGAGGGGACGGAGGAGAGCATTCGGCCTCGCGAGTACTACGAAGGCGGGGTCCCGAGCGGGGGTGGCTGGGCGCCCGCCGGGCCGAAGCTCGGGCTGACAGGCCCGGCTGCCGGCTACATCCTCCCCCCTGCTTGCCGGGAGCCTCACACTTACCAAAATCCGCTTGAAAAGCGCGTTCTCCTTGGGCGGGAGGCTCACGGCCGGCATCGTTCCGGCTCCTCCCGAGGCTCCCGCCACCACCCGGCTCGGTCAGTCTGTTTGTCCGACCGCCTCCGATGCCTGGCCACTTCAGCCCCGAATACCCCGATCCGCCGCCACCACCAGGCCTCGGGTGTCGCCGCGTCGCCCTACCCGGACACCTCCTCCTCCTCGTTGTCTTTTTTCCTTTCTCACTCAACGCTGCCGCCGCCTCCCTCCCCCCACGGGTCTCCGTCGGCGGTTCACGTGGTAACTGAACAGACCGACAGAGGCAGCCAAAATGGCGGACGCGGAGGGCTTTCCCACCCGGGTCACGCCTCCTAGCACGCAGGCGCGGTGACCTTCTGTCCCACCCTCGCTGTCCCGGAGCTTGCCGGGAACCTGGAGGCTGGCCGGCCTGCGGAGGTGGAGGGGTTCTGGGCGGGCCCCCGGCGTCCTTCCCGTGGGCAGCTCCTGGGAGGCGCCCTGGGGAGGTCCGAGAGCGCGGCCGGCTACGCTTCCGACCGCCTCCTCATCGAAAATCGCCTTTCTGCTCCTCCTTGCTAGACTGGCCCTCATTCATTGAGTAGCCGCTCCCACACCGTGTGGTCGTGCTTTAAGCCTGCAGGGCTAAGCTGCAGGTGTGGGTGTTCGAGAAGCACTGTGGTCATTACCGAAGTCATTAAGGAGCAGAGGCGGAGGGGGAATGAATAGCCTTCACCGCGGTGGAGACTAGTGAACACACCTGGAGACCAAGGGGTCTAATCGAGTTTGAAAAGCGTGAAAGAGCCTGACCTATTAAATGGGCCTGGCTGCGGTATCGGTGATTTGGGTGAATATTTCTTAAGATGAGCCTGGAAAGTTCGCTACCCAGATCTGAAGTGACCTATTTGTACTGGTCAAAGGAGCTCTGCAGGCTGAAGCGTTGTGATTTATCTCACTGTTGAGGCCAAACAATGCAGGGTTTGAGTCACCTTGTGTGAGTCACCTTGGTGTAGTGGAGAGGTTCAGGAACACTGACCCTACTGGAACTGGTTTCGAGCTCCTGTTTAACATTGTGACTATTGACTTGCCCATCATCACAAATCATCAAACTTTAGACATTGAAGACAAGACTTCAGACTAGCAAGACTACTAGAGGCAACTGCTCCAGTAGGCAAGGTCAGTCTAGACTCTAACAAGACCCCTTCCGCATATGAGACATTTTCGTTAACGAAAAAAAAAAAAAAAAGTGGAGCTTTTTAAAAGCGGCATTCCACTGATGCTCTAAAAATTTTCAAGAGCCATTTTGCCCTTGATTATCTCTCCACATCCTGAATTCGATCTCTAGCGTTCTTTTCATTATGAGTCATTAAACAAGATGTGCAGTGGGTTTACCCTTTTAAATTTGTTTACACAGATACTTAACAGTTTTCAAATTGTTCTTCTTTACCCTTCCCTGGAAAGTGTGAGTTAAGACGTTTCCCAGTGGAAAAATCTTGAGACTAAAATTTAGGTGTTGGTTGCCCACTATGTTGGTTGCTCTCTTTTCACTTGGGTCATAAGTAAGGTTTTAGCAGTTAAATCCTGGAAATTCCTTGAATTCGGTAATCTCTCTTAAAAAGTTTGAGGAAATCATATCTACAGGAATTTGAAAAGTAGCCAGATTTTTAGACTTTTTTGGGGGGAGGGCAGGGTATTAAATATAGGGGCACTTTACAATTACCACTGAGCTTATTTTCATTTTTAATTTTGAGACAGGGTTTCACTAAATTGCCAAATGTGGCCTCCAACTTTCAATCTTCCTGCTTCAGCCTCCCACATCACTGGATTACACACCATGTAATCTTTTTTTTTTAAATAACATATATAATTAAGTTTAATTTATAAAAATCAATTGTTATTTAGTAATAATGAAAAGTTCACTCCCTCCACCGGACTTTCAACAATATGAACTATTAAAAAATAGAAAAAGTGTCTTTTGTTTTTTTTTTCCATTTAGTCACTAACTTGAGTTTCCAAATCTCTGGCCTCATTCAAAAATCCCAAAGCAATATTATTTGCTATAGATTTTTAAATTTTTTTCTATATATAATATTCTATTTTTTTCCACCTCAGGGGAAGTGCATTTTTGTTCTTTGAAACACAGTGGTTTCCACCAGAAACTGAATACCTACTTAAATAAGCCAGCAATAATAGCTTGGCAAATGTTAATTCTTTTTGGCTAGTAACAAATAGTTTTTGTTTTGTTGGTACTGAGAATTGAACCCAGGGACCCTGAGCCACATCCCCAGCCATATATATATATATATATAATTTTTTTTTAATGTTTAATTTTTTGTAATTGGACACAATACCTTTAATTTATATGTGGTGCTGAGGATTGAACCCAGGACCTCGCACTTGCTAGGTGAGCGCTCTGTCACTGAGTCATGACCCCAGCCCCTTTTTTTATATTTTTATTTAGAGATAGAGACTGGCTAAATTGTTTAGGAACTTACTACATTGCTGAGGCTGATTTTGAACGATCCTCCTGCCTCAGCCCTCCCAGCCACTAGGATAACAGGGATGCGCCACCAAACCCAGTTTAAATAGCTTTCTCTCCTCCTCCAATACTAGGGTTCTTGGGATCAGGGGCTTCTGCATGCTATGTAAGTGCCCTAACGCTTGTTCTTTCTTGCCCCCCTCCCCAGACAGTATCTCACACTAAGTTACCCAAGCTGGCCTTAAAGTTGCCATTCTTCTGCCTCAGCCTCTCAAGTAGCTGAGATTACAGGCACACACTCCCAACTTAAATAGCAGTTTTTAAGGCTCAGTGGATATTAGTCTGTTTCAAGTTAAAATGCACCTACAGGAGCTGGGTTGTGGCTCAGTGGTACAGCACTTGCCTAGTATGTGTGAGGCACTGGATTAGATTCTCAACACCGCATATAAATAAATGAATAAAATAAAGATCCATTGACAACTAAAAAAATAAGAATTTTTTTTTTTTTAAATGTACCTACAGTGCTGGGATTGTGGCTCAGCGGTACAGCGCTTGCCTAGCATGAGTGGGACCCGGGTTCAATCCTCAGCACCACATAAAAATAAAGGCATTATGTTGTGTCCATCTAGACATAAAAAATAATATATATATATTGCACCTACAATTCACAGCCATCTGACCACACAGTGACTTGATAGCCTGAACACAACAATAAAATAATCTACTCTTATCACCACCATTTGACAAATAAAGATTTCATTTGAGTTATGCTGTGAATGATAGCTGTGCTTCCAAGTTTTCATAAACAAGGCTCTGTATGCTGCAGCTGCTGCTATAGCATCTTAACATATATTTCCATTTCACTGTGATCAAAATGTTTCCTCTAGGGTTGAAGATACAGCTCAGTGGTAGAGCTCTTTCCTAGCATTCATAAGGCTGTGGGTTCCATCACCAGCAGTACACACACACACACACACACACACACACACGCTTCCCCAAAAAATAACCAAAAATAGATAAAATCATTTGGCTTCCAGACTTTACTTCTACAAAAGGGATATATATAATAAAAATTCTCCACCTTCATATATGTAAGATGTTCTCTATTGAGACTTTTACATCTAGATAACTAAATATTTATATTTTACAGAAAAATCACACAAAATAGATTTTATGTGTTTGTTTAACAAGTGTTAAACAAATTTAACAAATGTTAACATTTTGCTATTGCCTTTGATTTTTTTTTTCTTTAATAGAAACTTATAGCTAGAGAGGCTGGGGTTGTGGCTCAGCGGTAGAATGTTCACCTAGCATGTGTGAGATGCTGGATTTGATCCTCAGCACCACATAAAAATAAATAAATAAAGGTATTGGGTCCAACTACAACTAAAAAATAAATATTTTTAAAAAAATAAATTAAAAAAACTTACAGATAGAAGAGGAAGTCCATCTCTCTCCAGGTCCTAAATTTGATCTATACAATTCTTACGTACCATAAGTCAGTAAACATGTAGTGGTGTTTTGCATTTTATGTATTTTCATCTCAATCTTCTTTAACCCTCCCTGGGAGATATGAGCTGAGTAATATTTCTCCTAATGGAAAAATATTGGACTAAAATTTTGCTTTTCTAGCTGCTAACTCAAATCTCAAATCCTAAACCCTAGGTCATGAATAAGAGTTTAGCATTCAAATTCAGGAAATGGTTTAAATGAATGTTATGAAACAACTTCTACCAAAATATAATAGCTATTAACTCCTAGCTGCAAATGCTTCATCAAGATTCTTTTCAGATGGAATTTCACCTACAGCTGCTTACTCCAAGTGTAGGGTTCCATCAGCTCTAACATGCTGTGAGCAGTGTACTTCTACTTCATCACTTTCCCAAAATACACACTAGTAAAAGGATACAGGGACCAAAGCTCTGAAAAAGAATGAAACAGCCTTTCTTAGAACAGATACTGATATTAGTAATTTGCTCACTGGTTCTAAATATTCTGACTAAATGTGGCTTTTGTTTCAACTTGTTGGAAACTGACAAAAGCTTCGCCAGGACAAGTTTCTAAGGGGAGGTGTGGAAAGGATATACAACTGACAGGTTGCTGAGTGGACAAGAAGCCAAGAAGCTGAGAGCCAACAACTGACTCAGCGCATTAGTTAGGTGGTTTGCTTACTGGAGCATGAGTCCAGGAGGCTCAAACTAGGTTACAAACTCTCTAAAGTGACTCACAATTTAGCAACCTATTCAATAATCATTTACATTTTTAAAATGGGCTAGAAATCCTAACAACTATTTTACTTTTCGATTAACAGTTTTTTGTGTTTTTTTTTTAATCTTAAATGATGTTGGTAAAAATACATAGAAGGAAAAAATTGCAAACATTTTGCTTTTAAAATGAATCTAAATGGCATTGGGTTTAAAGAAATAGCTTTAAAGGTTAAAATGTATCATCTATTACCTATACATATTTTTACATGGTTTTTAGACATCACATTGAACTCAGAATTGAATACACAAATGTCCTGCTAGGTTATGCAAGATCAGACCATTGATCAGAAAAATGCCTTTAAACAAAATGTTGTTTCCTATTCACACTTTCTAAGCTTCCCAGCGACCTACAGGCTAGATTTTATGTTCTAGATGTAAAACTGAAATACAGGGGCTGGGGATGTGGCTCCAAGAGGTATCGCGCTCGCCTGGCATGCGTGCGGCCAAAGGAGGGTTGGATCCTCAGCACCACATACAAAGATGTTGTGTGTCTCTCCTCTCTCTCTCTCTCTCTCTCTCTCTCTCTCTCTCTCTCTCTCTCTCTCTCTCT